CAATTCAGTTGTTACAAATGGTATTTGCCCACTGGTTTAGTGTTAGAATAAAGGGTAGGGTAGAGGCCAACCTGTAAAAATAATAATGAAGCTGAAATACCATAAATTTTCCATTAAACATGAGGTGTGTAATGACCCATTACACATACACAAGACTGAAACAGCTTTCGAAAATAAATATAAAAAGATAAAAACACAGTTTTTAAATCCACTAGATTAGTAAAAGTGCTGGCAAGGATGTGGAGAAACAGAACTTTCACATTTCGCTGGTATAGTTTTAACCGATTCAACTATTTTGGAGAATAATCTGGCAAGATTTCCTGAGGCTGAAAGTGTGTCTGACCTTTGACCTAGTAACTCCATTTCTGAGAAACAACGTACAACACTTGCATAGGAGCAGGGGGAGATACACATCAAAATGTTCACTGTAGTAACATTCGGAGATCCCCTAAAAGTTCATCAATAAAGGAACAGATGTGTAAATTGTATGTATTCATATGATTGGACAGTAAGTGATAATGAATGAACTGAAACCATATAACATGACAGATCTCAAAAATAGTGTGAAAAGAATTATAGAATGATGGTTTACATGATTATACCTCATGTATCATTTATGTTTAAAACACACAAGAGTATGTATTTCTGATGGATACATACTAATATAAGCAAAAGCCATGGATGATGATTCATCAACGTCAGGGTCACATTTGTATTGGGAAAGTAAAAAAAGATTGTGATTGAGGAAGAATACAAACAGGACTTTAATTCTGTAATTGTTTTCTCTTAAATAATCAGAATTAATATGAATGTTAACATTGAATGGTACAGATGTTATGTGATTCAATCTGTTTATGTCTGTGTGGATGCCAGCAAGCCCCCACATGCCTGACCCCAAGACAATGAGTGACGTGACCTGTACTGTCCAACCTGCACGGGCCCACCGACCTTTGTCCCACATTCTCCTTATATGAACCCATAAATATTTTTAGCACTTCAGAAACACTCCTTGAAATGTTATTCCATCTTCCCAGTGTTGGCCTCACTGAAATAAATTCCTTTCTTATTTCACCACTGTCTCTCTGCCTTTGGATTTGGTCAGCAGCCAGGAGCCGCATCTCGTTTGGGACCCCAGGAGCTGGGTGCTCTTGCACCCTTGGGTCCTGGGGACAGTCTCGGAAAAATGAACTATTTGGGTATTTCCCAACAAGGTTCAAGTTGCCCAAAAGCAGCTTCAAGATTAGTGAAGGTAGTGGGCCACAGTATGCTATGTATCCAATGCTCATTTTCTAAGAATTCCCTTCCTCCCTCCATATGCTCATTCTCACTGCATTGATTACACAGAAAGTTTTTAAAGTGTCCATGGATGTGTGTGTGGGTGGGTGCTGAAATCCCAACCCATCTTCCCCTGTGCTCTTCTAGATTCAAAGTAACTGAAGTTCAGAATCATGTGCTTGCCACCTTAACTTAGAATCACCCGTTAACTTACAATCACCCAAACTGTTTCTAAGGACAGGTATTCCTATTTTCAGAGAGAAATTCAATGACCTGTCCAAGATCCCAGGGCCAGCAAGCAGGGAGCAGACATTTGGATGCAGGTTGTCCCTTAATCACTTTCCTATAGTGAGAATAAAGTACTTAAAAAGCTTATTCAGTAACCTCTGAATTTGGTTCATTGAATTTGGTTCATCTTTGGTTTTAGCTTACACAGGAGGATCAGCTGCATTCTGATCTTTCAGTGTTATCTTTGCTGCAAATGAAGTACAGTTACATACATGTGAGAATGCTTATTGACTATATTTGCAAACTGCATAATTTTTTCACTTTTAAAATATATGCTCTTCCTATCTGTTAAGATAGGAGAATGTTAAGAGAATGATCCCAGTATTCTAGTTAAATCAGAAGGAATCACATCAGAACTTTTACTTAGTTTCTTGAGAGGTAAATGAGGTTTACTGAGTAACTACAAACCGAAGTACACACTATTTACCATCTTTTCAGAAAATAATAAAGTTATGTCAAATCACCTGTTACAGCTGATGTTAAGAGCAATATAATCATTAATAATTTTGATTACCACCTATGGTGTCTATCAGCAATAAAGGGGAGTAGGCTTTGTTGCCCATTATCAGTAGTTTTCAATTACTGTTCACCAAAACTGATTCCTCAATATACATTTTTACATGAACCGTGATGCATATTTAGGATGTCTGGAATTTTAAAGTGATCACATTAAATTTCACAAGGAAATCAGGGTTCAAGGAATTAAGAATTTTGACCTGATACAGTATTTAAAAAAAGAAAAAACTATTAAGAAGTTAGAAATTAGTATAACTCTAAGTATCACAATTTCAGTACACAGATATCTGTGACTGGTCACCTTCCGTCAATTAAAATGATTCTTTTTTGCAGGTAAGACAATTTAGTTAATACTACCTTTTCATAATATTCAGGACTTTATTTTTAAAAGACAGTAGTCAATTTCTCCACTACCAAGCAGCCTACATCTCTTGTTCTCAACATCTAAAGTGTGCCAAATCAAATAATGTCAATCAGATTCCAAAAAGGAAAGTCTAGGTAAAATGTCAGTTGGTTATGTCCTATTCTCTCGTAGCTGAACAAGTCAACTAAACAGCTGCAAGTGGGCTTCCTAGTATCACAATGTCCTGTCTTTCTTAACGCAGTGTCCAGAGAGAAATAGTTAACATTTGCTCCAATATGGCTTTTTTAAAAAATGAGAGCTGGGGCCCCTGGGTGGCTCAGTCAAGTCGGTTAAGTGGCTCAGTCGATTAATTCGGCTCAGGTCATGATCTTGGGGTCCTGGGATTGAGCCCCATGTTGGGCTCCCCGCTTAGTGGAGGAGTCTGCTTCTCCCTCTCCCTCTGCCTCCCCCGCTTCTGCTCTTTCTCAAATAAATAAATAAAATCTTTGGGGGAAAAAAAAAAAGATTTTCCTTCACATAAGACTCTTTGCATTCATTGTCCAATACTGTTTTTTCCATACCTTTTAAACTGGGATTTTAAGAAAAATTTTCTTAGGTTTCATGTTAATATAAAAGGTATTAGCTGACAAATACCTGAGGTTTATTTGAAATTGACTTAGATATGCCTGAAATACAAGACTCAGTGCCATTTCAGTACAGCAGGAAATTCTAAAGAAATGTATTTTCTGGGGGGCCTGGGTGGCTCCGTCGTTAAGCGTCTGCCTTTGGCTCAGGTCATGATCCCAGGGTCCTGGGATCGAGCCCCGCGTTGGGCTCCCTGCTCAGAGGGGAGCCTGCTTCTCCCTCTCCCACTCCCCCTGCTTGTGTTCCCTCTCTCGCTGTGTCTCTCTGTCAAATAAAGAAAATCTTTAAAAAAAAATGTATTTTCTACTCAACAAATTGTAGTACAAAATGTACCAATAATGCCACAAAATTGTTTGCACTGTTATATGAGAATCAAACTTCTGTGGATCATTTTGGTGGGAATCATGATAGATGGGTAATTATATTACAAGACCCCCAGTGGATGCCTGAAACCACAGAAAGTCCTGAGCCCCATGTATACTATGTTTTTTCCTGTATGTACATATGTATGACAAAGTTTAATTTATAAATTAGGCACAGTAAGAGATTAAGAACAATAATTAATAACAGAGTAACAACAAACTGTAGTTAAGGTTATGTGAGTCTGGTCTCTCTCTCAAACCATCTTACTGTACTGCACTCACTGTCTTTCCTCCTGGGGATCCTCATGTGAGATGACAAAATGCCCACATGATGAGAGGAAGTGAAGTGAATGATGTAAGCATCGTGACCGGTCGCATTAGGTTACTATCAGCCTTCTGACGACAGTGAGAAGGAGAATCATCTGCTTCTGGACCTTGGTTGCCGGTGGAAAGTGAAACCACGGATAAAGGAGGACCTACTGTACCAAACAGTGGAAGTGTCCAGCTTGTGTGAGTGAGTGAAAATGGTACACAGGTACTTTGAATAAGCACACCATACGAGGGAGGAAAACTGCATTATGGCGTCACAAAAGTCCTCTTCTCTCTTAGAAAATTCGCATCACATGAACCCATCCTCGTTAACACTATCTTCAGGAAGGGAACCAAAGCTCCTATCAGTGTTATTTCTGCCTCCAAAAAATCATAAAACCATATGCAATATATCTTAACCCGATCATCCCGCTTCCCACAAGACTCACTTTGTTTCTATTTGGTCCTCCTTCCCTTTCTTTAAAATTGCAGTTGATACACAATATTCTGTTAGTTTAAGGTGTATAACACAGTGAATTGACAATTACATACATTACAAAACGCTCACCACAGTATGTCTACTTACCATCTGTCACCATACAATGTTACTACAACATTATTGACTATATTCCTTATGCTGTACTCTTTCTACAGTCCTTATTTCTTTATAAAAAGGGTTTAAACGGATTCTCATGTGGAATAAGGCACAAATAAAACAAATTTTTTTTTTTTTAAACAAAAGAACACTTGTCCTGATGGGAAAGGAAAATGTGACCAAAAAAGTTTGAACAAGTTAAAGATGAAGCATGCAACGTAACAGGCCCATTGGTTATTTCTAATCTTCTACACGTGGGGCCTGAACTCATGACCCTGAGATCAAGACCTGAGCTGAGATCAAGAGTTGGACGCTTTATCAACTAAACCACCCAGGCACCCCAAACCCTCTGTACTTTTAAAACACTGTATTTTTAGGGAAATGCAAAGTGTAGTTTACACTAATGTAACATGGTTCTCTTCCCCATCTTCTTCACCAATAGAGCTGGCCACTATGCAGATATTATTTGCAAAAACATAAATATTACCAAAGGTCCCACTTTGGCATGTTTAAGTAATCAATCTGTGAAGTTTCTAATTAGATCAGAACAAACCACATCCACACTATAAAATCCCACATTAACAGGAACAAGCAAAACAAACACCTAGGTTAAACTGATAAAGGCATATTCCATTATATTCTTCATGTGTTAAATTGGTATTCAAAAACCATTTACATTTATATTTTAATGTAGGATAATAAAAGCCAAATTACAGACAACATTGAGGTTTTTTTTTTCTTTTTTTAAATTCTAGGGTACATGTACTGGGGACAAAAACAAGAAAATCAGTTCAGGGACTTTTTTCTGAACAAACGACATCACAGGTTTCCCATGATATGTGCCTAAGCCGCTAAGTCTCATCTGTCACACAGGACACTGAATGGTGACCATCTCTCACATTTGTTACTTGTAATTCCTAAGTGATCAATATTGAGTATCTTCACTTCTGAGTAAGAGAAAAAGCATTTTGGTCCATTAATTCACCTACTCGCTCCTGGAGGACGTTAACCAACTCTGCAATAACGAACACATGAGTGTCATCAATGTCTTGAATGATGAACTTCTTCCCTAAGGCATTTGATTCATCCAAGTACAGCAGGAACTGCTTCATGGCAGGGTCACTGCAGAGAGAAACACATGATAACCACTCACTGAGTTGTGAAATTACACCTGAGCAATGAGAATTGGGTATGCAGAATTTTTAGGGTAGCTTTAAAAGTTCTAAACTGTTACTCCCTCTGTCTCAAGTATTAGAACTGTTCCATCAAGTTTTAGAGAAAGAGGCCAATGATAAGATTTTAAAAGAGTAATTTGTCACTGACAAGTGAAAAAGTAATGTTCAGAGCTTTGTAGTTAATAGGGCCTAGAATCACAGCACCCTTAACTGATTTAAAAAATTAATTTCCTTACTTGCCCGTGACCATAACATTTAAGACGCCAATAGATTTCCACGACCTTGCCAGTGAAAAATTAATTTGAGTTAAACAGTCACTGTGATAAAGCAGGGTGAATAGTAAAAGTCAGATCTGGATTCAATCTCAGTTTTATCACTTACTTGTGTGACCTTAATATGTACTTAATCTTCAACGCCACAAAATGAACCTACATGACAGAACTGTTAAAAAATTAGAGGAGAATAATGCCAAGGATAGTGTTTGGCTTGCAGTAGGTTCTCAAGTTTTTTTTTTTTTCTCCTCCTTAAAATTCTGAACTTTATTAAGTTTGAACTATCACTCAGAATCTTTAAAGGAAATCCTACCAAAATCTTCTTCAGAATACTGAGCTCAAAGAAGAGACACAAATTTAACTCTATTTGTGATTTTTAGTTTGGAATGAATAAAGTCACAAGGAAAAGAGGGATACAATTTCTAGGATTTACATGGGGTGCCTGGGTGGGTCAGCTGGCTAAGTGTCCAACTCTTTATTTCAGCTCAGGTCATGATCCTCAGGGTCCTGGGAGCAAGCCCCATGTTGGGCTCCTAGCTCAGCAGGGAGTCTGCTTGAGGATTCTCTCCCCTTCTTCCCGCCCCCCACCACCAGCTCTCCCACACCTGTCTTTCAAATAAATAAATCTAAAAAAAAAAACCAAAAAAACAATTTCTAGTTTTTACAGAAACATCTGTCATAAAAACCCTGAATCACAACAGAGGACACTCGCTAGACCTAATATAATGTACAATAATGTGTTTAGCAAAAAATGAGGTCAGTGTAATTTCCTGAGAAGATTAAAAACAAGTTTTACTTTTTTCAAGTACAAACTGGGTATAAGTGAAGCTAACAAAGGTAAAGGACTTATTTCAATCACTAAATGAGTATGGTTCATGGTATATTAACTATTAATAAAGTCAAGTCTTCCTAGAGATGATTTTAATTATTTTCAGTAACTTACCATTACAATTTTATTAATAATTTACTAAACCATAAAATGTGAATAAACAAACAAGTCTGGGGCGCCTGGGTGGCTCAGATGGTTAAGCGTCTGCCTTCGGCTCAGGTCATGATCCCAGGGTCCTGGGATCGAGTCCCGCACCAGGCTCCCTGCTCCTTGGGAGCCTGCTTCTCCCTCTGCCTCTCTCTCTGTGTCTCTCATGAATAAATAAATAAAAAGTTTAAAAACAAACAAACAAACAAGTCTGCCCACATCAGAACTGACATAAATTTTAAATTTAGTTTCTAGTATGCCTGTTACCTTAAGTTCGGAACAATAACCTAGATTTGGCAAAATTCAGTCATATTCTATGGTTGCAGTATTAGAATGAGCATTCTAATCTGCAGAATTGATTGGTTCAGAAGTAAATTTGCTACTTTACGCTTTATTCACTCATTCAGTAACTATTTATTGAGCACCCGTCATGTGCTAGGCACTACTCTGGTCCTGGGTCTTCAGCAGTAAACAAAACAAGTCAGAATCCTCCCTGTCACGGAGCTTATATTCTACTGGTAGCACTACGATCACCACGCGCACACACACGTACACACGCGCGCGCACATGCGCACGCACACAAAGTAGGGAAGTAGGATGAGAAATGGCAGGATGAAAGTGATAGGGTCTTGTAAGTTTAAACAGGGGAGGCAGGAAAGGCCTTACTGAGCAGTGACATCTGAACAAACAAGAGGCAGTAAGCGAGGCATGCAGTGACTCAGGCAAGGGCATCCTAGGCAGAGTGAAGAGTAAAGGCCATGAGGCTGGAGAGGGGCGACTAAAGGGGACAGAGGTGGAAGAGGAGGTCAGAAAGTTAGAGCTGGGCCGGCTCACAAAGGGCCTTGGAGGTGATTTTAGCAGTTTGGCTTTTATTGAGTGACATGATTTAACTTACAGACTGACTTCAATTTTAAACGCAAGGATCATACTGCCTGCAGGGTTGAGAAAAGACTGGAGGGTAGTGAGGGCAAGGGTAGAAACAGGGAGACTGATTAGAAGGTGACTGTAGTAACCCAGGCAAGAGATGATAATGGTTCGGACCCACATGGTAACAGTGAGAGGAGGAGAAGTGTCTGGATTCTAGACATATGTTGAATGTAAAGCCTGCCTAACTTGCTGAGACTAGACTCCAGCTTTGAAGGAGAAGAATTAAGGAGACTCCCAACATTTTCAGTCAGAGCAAATGAAAAAGTGGAGTTGCCTTTTACGGAGATGAGGAGGAAGGAGGAAGAACAGGTTTGCTGGTAAAATCAAGAATTGGGTTTTAGGCATGTTACCTGTGAGATGCTTACTGGCACCCAAGTGAAGAAACTGAGTAGGAAAGCGGATAGACAATTCCGGATTTCAGCAGCGAAGTCCGGACTGAAGAGAAAAAGTCAGTCATCAAGCTCTGACAAGGGAATTAACACAGCTACAGAGAAGAGACCAAGGACCAAGACCCAGACCCAGTTTCCCTAATGTCAAAAGGTTAGGAAGAAAAGGACAAATCAGCCAAGTAGATTATAAAGCAGTGACCACTGAGGTAGGAAGAAAACCCTGAGTCCTGGAAGGTAAGTGAACAAAGGACATTCAAGAAGAGGAAGCGATCCACTGTGTCAGGTGCTGGTGACAGGAACAGTTAAAGAGGATGGAGACCTAAGTGCCAGGGGGACTCGCAAATGCGCTTTGAATCAGCACATTGGTGTTTTCAAATTTTGCCATTTGCATACTATCCTTGCTCATTTAGCCATCTCTTGTAACACCTGAGCTACCTATTACTTCTTATATTTCTTTATATTGCCTTTAAATCAACTTTTAAGCTTAACTTTGCCTGGTATGAATCACCAGTCATCCCACTGTGTTTTTATCCTCAAATAAGCTAAACTGGTCATATAAAAACAAGTTTTGTGTTCTCCCCCTCCCTTTTGTGTTCTCCCACAAACCGTCTTGAACCAGCACCATTGCCCATACCTGGGGAAACACTGCGAACTGACAAATGAGATACCTAGAAAGTGGTGAGGCACTGAAATAACTACCTCCCTTATTAATCGCTTCAATTCAACTTTCTGAAAGGAGCAAGCGATCTGAGGCTGAATTCTCAAGCATGTACCTGAAATATAATTTATAACGACTCAAAAGGTCAAAGTTTAAGGGACTTTTATTATGAAACATTGAGGGAACTGGAATATATTGCCTGAATACAGGGCTATTTATTCTACTTCCTCATGAAGAGATTCTATGGGAGAACCTGCTGGTAAGAGAGAAAAACAAAACCAAGTGCCCACAGACATACTTGGTTAAAGTCCTGGGATCAGGGCTAGTGAGCAAGAAAAAAAGGTCTTTGACCTGGAGATGTGAAGGTAGATATCAATCAAACTCCCTCCTACATAACTTGAGTTTAACCTCTATAAAACATGATTCTAAAAAGTATTACACCACAAAGGCTCTACCAGGATGACATAGTTAGATGTAAAGCAGACCAGAGACTTCACTGGTCACCTGCACAAAATTGTCAGCACTGTCCATCCCATCAGAATGATAGTCTTGCGGGGGGGAAGTGGAGGGATGGGTTAGCCTGGTGATGGGTATTAAAGACGGCACGTACTGCATGGAGCACTAGGTGTTATACGCAAACAATGAATCACGGAACACTACATCAAAAACTAATGATGTAATGTATGGCGATTAACATAACATAATAAAATAAAAAAAGTAAAAAAAAGAATGATAATCTTGGCTCAGTCAATGGTAAACTATCCTTCCTGATAATAAATAGCTAACAGGTATAATTACTTAAAAATCTTAAAAGTATTTCTCCAAATTCTATATCTACTGAGAACAGAATGTTTTAGAAAATTGTTATTGAACATGAAATGGCTTTGTTTGCTTAGTTTATTTCCTTCTTACAAGCATTTTCCAAAGTGTTTTTGGAATAAGCGTATTGTCCAGCTTGAGATATAGTTACCTTTATTAGGGTCCAGCATATTGTAGGTGCTCAATAAATATTTGCAATGAGTAGGGTCTTAAGAGAAAGAAAGGGCCACCACAGGGGACATTGAGCTAACCAGAATAACAGTCCCAAGTTCCCAATATGACATACAATAGGTTTATTCTTAAAAAGACACGATGCTAAAGAAAATACTGGACTCAGACTAACTCCAAGCCCAGCTAAGTCAACCAAAATATGTATGATATATAAAATCACTGAACCTCTCCATGTCTTAGGGTCCTAGGTAGTAAGATGCTTATATATTGCAGGGTTGCTGGATTTAGAGAATACATCTAAAAACACTTTGTTCATGGTAGATACTCAAATGAAAAGCAATTAAAATGCCAAGAGTTTCTGGGTGTGTGGGAGGATACAGGTAGAAAGGTTTAAATTACCCATTTCTATCCCTATTAAAGGATTTGTTGTTCCAAAAATATTTTTGTTACTACTAGCCTGTGTATATGATATTCTAAGAATATGCATGCACACATTCTTTTTAAAAACTAAACACAATAAAGGGGTGCCTGGGTGGCTCAGTCTGTGCAGTGTCTGCCTTTGGCTCAGGTCATAATTCTAGGGTCCTGGGATCGAGCCCTATGTTGGGCTCCTTGCTTATCAGGGAGCCTGCTTCTTCCTCTCCCTCTGCCTGCCGCTCCCCCTGCTTGTGCTGTCAAATAAATAAATAAAAAATCTTAAAAATGGGGATGAGAATACCCGTATCTGGGGGGCGCCTGCGTGGCTCAGTTGGTTGAGTGTCTGCTTTCGGCTCAGGTCATGATCCCGGGGTCCTGGGATTGGGCCCTGTCAGGCTCTCTGCTCAGTGGGGAGCCTGCTTCTCCCTCTCCTCTATCTGTATCTCTCTCAAATAAATAAAATCTTAAAAAAAAAAAAAAGGATACCTATATTTCATAGGGTTGTTGTGAGAACTGAGTATTACCGTGTGCTTAGTATAATACCTGGTAAATGCTCAGTGTCATTTCATGAAGGCATTCAGACTTTTTATTTACCATTGTATTACACAATGTCATTGTCCCATAACACTTAAAAATGTTTTCAAATACTTTAATTGCTACATTATTTGATTATAAAAATGTCACAATCAATGCTTAATTTAGTGATTCGACATTTCAACATTTCCATTCAACACCTGGTGCTCATCACAAGTGCACTCCTTACTCCCCATCATCATCAGTTTGTTCTCTATAATTAAGAGTCTATTTCTTGCTTTTTTCCCCTCTGCTTGTTTCTTAAATTCCACATGAGTGAAATCACATCATTATTTGTCTTTCTCTGACCGACTTATTTCGCTTAGCATTACACTCTCTAGCTCCACCCTCAACACTATTAGCACATTCAATTACCTACATTTTTTTTTTTTAAAGATTTGAGAAAAAGCGCGTGCACGCACGCCAGCATACTCTGGGGTGGGGGGAGAGGCAGAGAGAGAGAGAGAATCAGAGAATCTCAAGCAGACGTCCCGCTAAGTGGGGAACCCTGACGCAGTAGTCCAATCTGAAATCTATTCCACTTCTCTACTAAAACAGTTCTCATTAAAAAAACAAACAAACAAAAAACCGAGAAAAAAAAAGAAATCGCTGACTTCTAGTGTGTCTTCATCTTATTCCATCTCTCATCACCACTGGACATGGCCCACTCACCTTTATGAAACATTCCCTCTTAGCTTCCCTCCTACATCACTGGCTCTTTTCTTCTTGTCTTTGTTGTGTCTGTCCAAACATTAAATCTGCACTGCTCACTACTGAGCACTTGAAATGTGGCCAGCCTGTGAGATGGGCTGTGAAAGTAAACTCCACACTGGATTTTGAAGCTGTGGTATGAAAAAAGACTCAGCAAAATTTTGAAATCTTAGTAAGAACTTTGAAGATTTAGAACATGTCAAAATATTTTGGACACACTGGGTCAAATAAAACATACTAATTTCACCTGCTTCAATTTACTGTTAATGTGGCTAATAGAAGATTTAAGACTACATATGTGGCTCACATTGTATTTCTATAGGACAACGTTGTCCTAAATGCCAGAGTATCCTACAGTTTGGTTTTGCTCCTCCCCCCGCCTTGCCATCACAAACAAGTGGGGACTGAGCAAGAACTGGTCCAATAATTTAGTTTTTCAGACTATGTGATAACAAAGCCCTTAGTAGCTTGCTTTGAGGAATTCACTGCTACCCATTAAGGTCTCTAGCTTCTCCTATGAAATGTGTGCCTAGTTTAGACAATCTTCAACTGGCTCTTGATTTTTACTCTTTTTTAAGGCCACAGTTTGTGATGGTGAAGACATAGGCAGACCTTAAAATTCTAGTCCCTGATGGTTGGAGGACAATACGAGCACTGTTCCTCTAAAGAGCGTTGATCTAAAAAATACACTGCCCCTGACCAAAACATGCTGGAAATACGCCAATTACATCAACTGGACTGAGACACTGAAATCTGGCACTAGGAAGAAACACAGCAATACAATCTGTCTCACCTGTTATATAAGAAAAATGAAGTTGAGGGCGCCTGGGTGGCTCAGGTGGTTGGGCGACTGCCTTCGGCTCAGGTCATGATCCTGGAGTCCCGGGATCGAGGCCCGCATCAGGCTCCCTGTTCGGCGGGGAGTCTGCTTCTCCCTCTGACCCTCCCCCCATCATGCTATCTCTCATTCTCTCTCTCTCAAATAAACGGATAAAATCTTAAAAAAAAAAAAAAGAAACATGAAGTTGAGAAAGCTGAAAGACTTGATTCCTTCAGATCTTTTTTTTCTTTTAAAGATTTTATTTATTTATTTGACAGGGAGTGACACAACGAGAGAGGGAACACAAGCAGGGGGAGTGGGAGAGGGAGAAGCAAGCTCCCAAGGAGCAGGGAGCCTGGTGCGGGACTCGATCCCAGGACGCTGGGATCATGACCTGAGCCGAAGGCTGACCTTTAACGACTGAGCCACCCAGGCGCCCCTGATTCCTTTAGATCTTAAAACAAAATGAAAACATGGATTCTAGAGGTACATATACATCAAAATTAAATATGGAGATTTAAATTTCATTAAGTATCAAAACTACTAACCATTCTATTAGCACTCCTTTCAAGACGTTGACCATCTTTTCCCAGTCAGAAGGTGCAGATGACCTTTAAAATGCTAATAAAAAAAGGTAAAATCAAAAAACATCAACTTTTTCAATATACTTTGGAGATTTGCCTCTTGAAATGAGGCAAAATATTAAATGTCACATTAAACATTTAAGTCTATGAAAAACAGGGCTAACATTAACATAGATATTCTGATTTTTAAAATGAAGATGAGTCTATTGGAATATTAATGCAGAAATCTTACTTGCAAATGCTACCCAGGTCAATCCTAATGAAAGCAAGCAACCTAACTCTACGCCCGCGTACCCAAACCAAGTTTAGAACACGAGTCACAAGATTTCTATTCCCACCCAGGATAATGATAAAAGATAAGATTCCGGGAGGCAAAAATCACAGAACGGTAGCTGTGAAAGGGATGGTGAGGACGACTATCTCATTTCACAGATGAGATGGAGCGAAGAGACTAAGCCGTAGCTCCGGGGGGGGGGCGGGAGGGGGGAGAAGGGAGGGGGAAGGGAGAGAGGAAGGAGGGGGAGAGAGAAGCCAGGTCTCCAGATCTCGTGTTCTTTTACCACATAAATCAGGTTCCCCAATGATCTGCCCGAGGAGGAAAATATCCCACGCGGCGGACAACTTAATCCTTAAACTTCACCTGGGCGCGAGCCATTACCTCCCGTAATGAAATCCACGGTTCAATTACTGCGGGAAGCCTCCAAGCCTCTTCAGGAAGGGCCCCGAGAGGTGCCGGACACCGCCTTGTAACCCAGCACTTGGAGGACAAGCTTCTAGGACTTTTCTTCCCCTCCCCTCTTTCCTCGGGAGCCCTCGGTTTTCCATGCACCCCACTTTCCCCTCTCGCTGGGAGAGCCGAAACCACGTACCTCCGCCCTCAAAACCAGCAGCACTTGGGCCTTGCCAAGCGTGCCTGCGCCGGCTACGTCATCGGTCAGCGACGCTCTTGTGGGTGGGGCACGCCGGCGGGAGGCGGAGCACGAGCGGGGTTGAGGGGGCGGGGCGGGGCGCGACGGGGGTGGTATCACATGCCGCCGGTGACCGGCGGGCGGGCTCCGGCTGGCAACCGCCGAGAAGGGTGGGCTTCCTGCCGCCTGAGTCAGCGGTGAGCGGCTGAGGGCAGGCCGAGTCCGCGTGCCGGCAGGTAGGAAGGGGAGCCCGGGCTCGTGGGGGTCGGGCGAGGGCTTCGGCGAAGTCGGCACAGCTGGGAGTGGGGAGGCGGCGCGGGGGCGCGGCCCCTGACACACCCGCTGACCCGCCGACCCGCAGCCGGGAGCGAGGGCCTCTCCGAGCCTGGGCCGCCCGACCATTCTCTCCCGGTCGCTGCCCAGCTCTGGTTCCTCCCTGAGGCCCCCAAAGCCCCTGCCGGTACCGTCAGCCCCCACTGGGTAGTCACGGAAAGGTGAGGAGGAGGAGTAAGAAACAGTCTCGTTGAAATCGGAACCTGCCAGACCACAGCTTCTAGCTGTGACCCGAGGGGGTGCATAGATCGAATGCTGGTAGGTTTTTAAACCCCGAACGGTCATTGTAAGACCCCAGAGGGTTCATAAAATTAATCCTTTCCCCAAATTTTGGTGTGTAGTCTAATAGAGCTCTCTCTTTAATTATTTTTACCGGTGGAGGTTTGAGGCTCTTGCTTAGGTTCTTTAGGTCATTGTACTTCCCAATTAAGCGAATGCTGCACATTACTACTTAATGTGTTTGTCATTAATAAACCCAGCTCTTATATTCATTTCCCTCTTCTTAGCCCTCAAATTTTTCCCTCTTTTTGGTTTCCGTATTGCAGGTTCTGCGCTCGCCCTAGGCATGGTTCTTACAAAGTGTCTTTTTTTGATTAAAATATTTTTTACAATTTTTTTAATTTAAAAAATTTTTTATTCAAGTATAAACAGAATGTAACATTAGTTTCAGGTGTGCTATATAAAGATTCAATTCTGTGCATTACTCAGTGCTCATCATTGTAAGTGTACCCTTAATCCCCTTCACCTCTTTCACACATCTGCCCATCCACCTCCTCTTTGGCAACCACCGGTTCTCTATATTTGAGTCGGGTTTTTTTTTTTTTGGTCTCTTTTTTGTTTCTTAAATTCCACATATGAGTGAAATCTTATGGTATTTGTCTTTGACTTATTTCATTTAACATTATAATCTCTATATCCATCCATGTTGCAAATGGCAAGTTTCCATTGTATTTTAAGGCTGACAGTCCATTGCATACCCTTGCTTTATCCATTCATCTGTGGATGGACACATGGGCTGCTTCCATATCCTGGCTATGGTAAATAATGCTGCAGTAAACATAAGGGTGTTTATATCTTTTTGCATTAATGTTTTAATTTACTTTGGGTAAATACCCAGTAATGGAATTACTAGGTCATATGGTAATTCTAATTTTTTCTATACTGTTTTCCACAGTGGCTGCACCAGCTTGCATTCCCACCAACAGCGGACAAGGGTTTCTTTTTTCCACATCCTTGTCAGCACTTGTTATTTCCAAGTATCTTTTCTTTCCTCCCTGCCCCCGACCCTCTTGCATGCATTCTCCTCCTTGACCATCTCATTGAACCTCCACTCTTGTGCCCCAGGTGCTGGCCTGAGGCCTACACATTAATCACCTGTGAGTAATCTAAGCACCTCTCAAAACTGAGCTAGTTCTTATCTTTCACCATTACTTCAAAACCTGCTTTTCTTCCTGTGTTTCTCTGAATCATCCAGGTTTAAAATCTCCGTCCATTTATTCAGCAAACATTTTTGTGCACCTGGTATGTGCCAGACACTGTTCTAGACACTGGGAATACAATGATGAACAGGCAGCCAATTACAGTGGGGGGAGAAAGCAAAATCAGTTAACAAGAAGGTAGATGGTGATGTAATAAAGAGTGATTGGGCTCTGGGGAAGAACCTGCAAAATAATTGCAGTATTTATTTGGAAAAGTAAATAAACAAATAGCTAAGAAAAGTTTGAGACAGAAGAGTAATGCTATCAAAATATAAAACTACAGCATTTAATACAGTGTGGTAGTAGTATGAGACAGAACAATGGAACAGAATAAACATCCCAGAAACAAAACAAAAGAAAAATGTGTGTATATGTGTAGACATACATATACATGCATTTATAAGGTAAGGGAAGAGATCACAAATCTGGGAAAGGGAAGTAGCACTCAATGGGGGGAAAATGGCCTTCAGGAAGATTTCTGAATTAAAAAATAACTTCTATGTACCATCAATAACTAGGAATTTTAATTTTCAAATAGGTACTATTCATACCAGTGTTCAAAGCTAAAGGTATTTAGAAATAGATCACACTGAAGCTGTATAGTCCTCTAGGGAGAAAATTATAATGTTTTTTGAAACACATAACAGAAGACCCAAGTAAATGGAGAGATACACGGTATTCATGGGTGGGAAGACTCCATATCATAAAGGTGTCAGTTTTCCCCAATTCTATAAATTCAGTGCAATTCTAATTAAAATTGTACAAGATTTTTCATGGAACTTGACATGCTGAACCTAAAATATATATGGAAATCCAAAGGACTAGGAATCACTAAGTCAATTTTGAGAAAAAAAAAAAAATCAAATGGAAGTCCCTTCCTCCCAGGTATCAAAACTTAATATGAAGCCATGATAATTAAGACTACTTAATTGTTGTGTTAATTGCTAATATTGGTTCAGGGATAGAAAAGTGGTCAGATGGAATAGAATGGAAAGCTAGAAACACACCCACATAAATATGGGAGTTTAGCATACCACTAAGTGGTCTTTTAAAACGGGAAAGTGTACCCTGTTCACTAAATGATATTGAAATACGTGGCATCCATATAGAATAAAGACTAAATTAGATTCCTATTACTGTCCATTCACAGCAGTGATTTCCAGATGAAGACTTCAGTGTGAAGGACATCTATATATTATTTAGAAAAATATATAGGAGGCTATACTGTTTCCAGGAAAGATTTTTTTCACCTAACATAAAGTTTACCGTTTTAGCCGCTTTTAGGTGTATAGTTTGGTGGCATTTATGTTCTTGTGCAGCTGTCACTACTGTCTATCTCCAGACCTCCTTCATCTCTCTGGGAAGGATTTCTTAAGTTACAAAAAGCACGTTGAGGATGCTATTGCATTATTCCAGGTGAGAGATGATGATGATTTCAACTAGATGTGTAATGGTAGAGACGAAGAAAGGCAGATGGGTTTGGGATGTATTTCGATGGCATTGGGCAGGAGTTGGACAGGGGGTGAGGGGAAAACAAGGAATCAGGCAACATTTAGGTGTTTTGCTTGAGCCACAAGACAGGTCAGTTATCATTTATCACCAAAAACCATTGGCCATTTGGTTGCAGTGGGGAGGATGCGTGGAGGAAGACTTCAGGGAGGAAAAAATAAAGAATTCTGTTTTGGACAGTTAAGTTTGAAAGATCTGTTGGACATTCAAGTGGAAATGTTCCAGTAGCTGTTGGATAGATGAGTCTGGAAAGATTGTGGCCGAAGGTACAACTTTGGGATCACTGGCATATAGATAGTTAAAACTGTGATGTATCAGAATCAGGCTTGGCTGCATTACAAAGAAAGTAGATGCTAATAAAACCTTAACTCTGCATATGATTCCGTGGGTAGGCAGGCCATAGCTGGTGTGGCAGCAGCGCCATGATCATCAGGGACTTGGGCTCCTCTTTCTTGCCGTTCTGCCTTCCTTAGCATGCTGCCTCATGGTTGAGATGGCTGCTTTCATTCCATCTGCCACCTGCTCATAGCAAGGGGGAAAAGGAAAAGGTGAAGAAAAGCACATACTGTTTTAAGGACACTGCTAAGAAGTTGCATGTGACACATCCGCTTAGAGCCCATTAGCCGGTTTCTAATCAGCGGTCACACTTAAGTAGAGGGAGAGATATGTAATGTTGTCTTTATTCAGTTATCTGTATGCCCAGCTACAATTCAGGTGTTTTCTTAATAGGAATGAAGAGGACATTGGATGTTTAGTTTCACTTTGGTTTCTTCTCCAGCCGGGGCAATGAAGCTACCATTGCGAAGCTCTGGTGACTTCCCTGTTGTTAAATTTAATGGAATTTTTGAGTATTTGTTTCATTTGGTACTCATAATCTCTCCCTTTTTACTTTCTGTGTCCTCAGAATTTCTCCTCTGTTCTCTACTTAAAGTTAGTATTTCATATTTAATGCAATCATAATCATAATCCGAAAGGCTTTTTAAAAACAGAAGTTGACAAGCTGACGTTAAAATTATATGAATGTGCCAAAGACCTAGAGTAATCAATATTGAAAAGGAAGAACAAAACCAGAGAACTTGTACTACCTAGCTTAAAGATTTATTTTAGAACTCTAGTAATCAAGACAGTATGGTATGAAATAGATCAATGAAATGGAATAGAGTCCAGAAGTATGCCCATACTTACATAGACAATTGATTTTCCAACAAAGCACAATTTAGTGAGGAAAGTAAAATGTTTTCAACAAATAATGCTGGAACTATTGGATATCCATATGGGGGACAAATGAACCATTTCACCCAATACACAAAAATTATTTGAGATGAATCAAAGACCTAAAAGTAAAAGGTAAAACAAACTTACAGGAGAATTTCTGTGACTTTGAGGTAGGCAGCAATATCTGAGACAGGACACAGAATGCGATGACAATAAAAGAAAAAAATTTGATAAAAGAGACATTATGAAAGTAAACCTGTTCATCAAAAGGTATTTTTAAGAAAGGGAATAGACAAGTCACAGAAGAGGAGATATTAGCAATATATATGTACATATATCTGATAAAGAATTTGTTTCCAGAATGAATAAAGAGCTGATAACTCATTTAAAACACCAACAATCCAAATTAAAAATGAGTAAAAGAACAGATTCACATAAAAATAAATGTA